CAGCCTCTTGCCCCCAACAATCCGGGTCCTCATTTCACCCACCTTGGAAGGATGGAAGGCTGAGTCAACCTTGAGCCGGTGAGATTAGAACCGCTGAACTGCAGATAACAGTCAGCTGAAGTGGCCTGCAGTACTGCACCCTAACCACTGCGCCTCCTCGGCTCTTTTTCTTACGCTAAACAGAAAAAAAATAGCCATAGGATTTAAGAGAGCAAAATATTACTATGTTTTAAATTTGAAAAGAAGGAGGACCTAAATGTTTGAGACTGCAACATCCTTAAGACTAGGGCTCTCTAGTTCTCCAACTTTATGGTTAGCAGAAAAGTAATTGAAAAAGTGGGTGGAAATGAGCATTATTTCTGTCCCGTTTCCGTTACTGTTCTACCTTGTCTAAAAATCTGCCCAGCTAGTTGCAGATAGTTCTCGACTTATGACCATAATTGAGGCCAACATTTCAGTTTGCTAAGAGAGTCGGTTGTTAAGTGAGTTTTGCCCCATTTTACAATCTTTTTTTGCCACAGTTGTTAAGTGAATCGCTGCAATTGTTCAGTGAGTGCCAGTGTCGTTAAGTGAATCTGGTTTCCCCACCCCCCCTTAACTTTGCTTGTCAGAAGGTCCCCAGTAGGGGGCCACGTGCGCTCCGGGGACACCGCAACCGTCATAAATACGAATCAGTTTCCAAGTGTTTGAATTTTGATGAGTTTGTGACCATGGGGACACTCCAGTTGTAATTGTGGGAAAAAAAGTCACTTTTTTTCAGTGCCGTTATAACTTCAAACAGTCAGTAAGCGAGTGGTTGTAAGTCGAGGACTACATGGGGTGGCTGAGTGTCATCTTATGACATAATCATTGACATTGCAGGGGGATTTAAAAAAAGAAAGAAATGAGATAGTTTACGGAAGCGCTCCCAGTCTTTAAAATAATACATCTGCATAAATACCTTCCTCTTCTCTCCTCCCCTCCAGATATAAAACAAAATGATTTCCCCAAAGTTGAGGTTGAGTAATAAAGATTCCCTTTTCATAATTAAATGCATATACGGTGGGGTGTTTTTTTAAAATTAATCATCTTTTTATTGCCAGAGTTCTCAAACTTTATAATGTTACGAAACTGGCACAGTCAGAGCAAAGAACAAAATTTTGGAACCAGTTTGGACAAGACTCCTGCTTCTCCCAATTTTTATACCTTTCTTTTAACGTTTTACGTGTTTTATTTTTTTTTCAGATGTTTAAGTAGCACCACTATATGCACTCTTTTTTAAAAACAAAAATCAAATACAAGCGTGGAAGGCTTACTCGTAATTTGACTGCGCCGCCAAACCTCTTTCTAATTTAGGGAGACCGCTGGCAAAAAAAACGAGCAGCGTATAAGTTTAATAAGCAGAGGAATCACTTTTGTACACCCCTCCAGAAGAACTCTTTCAAGATCTTGTGCAACACACAACCGCAGGTAGGGTACACCAGCTCCTGGCTATTTTTAGTCCGCTTCCTGCAGGACTTCCCGCTAAAAATCAATCTCGGTTCAGTCGTGTCCCTTAGGAAAGTCATCGTGTGGCTTCCCCTACCCCGGAAAGACCTTTAAAAGTTGCTTTGTCAAACGCTGGACATAGTTTTCTCACGCCAGTTGTCACGAGAGAATGTGGACATTAGGAAATGTCACATTTTTCTGACATCCACTTAAGGAATTTATAATGTACGGGAATATTTCACAAGTACATAACACAAAATCCCCGAGAAATACCCAGCAGGAGAGCATTACTCAACTTTGGCAAGTTTAAGGGGTGTGGACTTCAGTTTCCAGAAATCCCTAAGCTAGCATTCCTTAGTCCCCGGGGAATTCCCAATCTGCATGCTGATTTGGGAAATTCTGGGAATTCACGCATTTCAAGTTGCCATGGTTGAGAAACACTGAAGGATGAGAAAGGCAAGTGTGAAGGAACTTCACTCTCCAAAGTCAAGCTCATAAAGGAACTTACTTCTAGGTAAGCATGCCTAAGGTTTGATCTCATTTTATTTTAATGGCATTGCAGGCTTTTTAATGTTTTTATACACCCTGGGAGCCCCTGAGAATCACAAGACTGCAATGAGAATGATATTTAAGAGTATAAAAGAGCACATAAATCATTGTAATCTCATTTATTTAGTTCTAAATTGGAATCAGGCTGGAGAACTCTCTCTTTTACTCAAGCTGGAAGGATGAGAACCTACCAGCATGCGAACTCTATTGTCATTTCCAATGATTACTTCTTCCAAGTTATACAGGGCAAAAAAATAATAATTTGAAAGCGGATTATTTACAAGAAAATTCTTAAGATTCAAAATATTTAAGAGCCTAGTTACAAAACCATCATGCCCATTTAAAAAGCAATTCTACACAAATATAGTCCCAAATAGAATGAAGTGATTTCAAGAGAACTCATTTCCAGATTTATAATATTTTAGCCTGAGGGAGTTCTTGGCAAAGTAACCAGTTTTATACTCCGCTAAACAACATATTAACTTACATGCTGTTTTCCCTCAAATACATATTTGTCTGTGGGGGGTTTTTTTTGGGAAGAAAAATGTTTTCCTTATTTCTACAGTAACGTTTTGAAAAATGGAACAAGGTAAATGGAATAACACCCCATGACCTTTCCCTTTGTATAAACTTTGCTGCAAGATATTTACACCGGAACTGCCTCTTGCTACTTAATTCATCATCGGCTTATGTTTTCCTTTGGTGGCCCCTGAGTTGCCGATATTTAATTTCTGAACTTGAAGTACTTTTTACCTGTGCATCAAAGAACCTAAGCGCGTGGCATCGTTGTGAAAATAAAACGCTTACCCGCGAAGGATAACCCAAGTACGGATTTATCAATAATTTATTCTGAAATGGTTGGGATTGGATTCGATGACCTACAAGGTCCTTTCTAACAGAGTTGGAAACCTAAACATCCAAACCGCAATAAGGCGAGGAGTATCTATACTTACTCTGTCACTATAACCAAATACCGGCGCTCCTCGCAAGGTGAATTGATGTCTCTGTTGTTTCTCGGCGTCTGCTGATTCTGCAATACAGAGATGGAAATACAACTCCTTGTGTTATGTAAGCCTGGCCCCTGTTTTGCCTCGTGGCTTTTTCCCATGCCTCATCGACCTTCCAGATAGGTAAGAGAGCGCAGTTTTCAAAACAAGCGGTTAGAGCGAAACGAAAAGAGGCTTACCTGGGAGGGGTGAGTATCCCAAGCCCTCGCCCCAGATCAAAACACCACAAAGCAGGTTAAAGCTTTCTGCTCGTCCCGCCGAGACTCGGCATTTATGCATCCGATGCCTCGAAAGCTGGGGATTTATAGGACGGCATGGTGGAGCGTGGGTGAGGTTTGACAGGCACACCGAAGTATACACAAGAGGCCAGGTGTGGGCAGGAGTACCGCCCGTTTGTTCTCCCGGGACTCATTTTTACCACCTGTCAATCTCTGAGAAGACTTTGACCGTAAAGTGAACTGTCACTGACATTGGACGGGAACTCCAGGGCAGCACCCAAATAGCAACGCAACACAACACAAAACACCGAAGACAACAACAGGGGCCGTTCTCTAGTTACCAGGTCCGACAGGCATTTCATTCCCTCCGACTCCACGCGGACTCCAGAGAAACTCCTGCCTGCAATTCTACAATGGCCCTTATGCACAACTCCTTCCTATAAAGCGGCTCGAGCGTTAGGTCAGTGCCCTTAGGACAGTCTCAGGGTTATTTATGTGCCAAGGACATTTTTACCACCTTTTAATTTTTTTTTTTACATCTGACACAGACAGATTGTGAAACAGATGGGGTTTATTTATTTATTTTTTATTTTTTTTGCACTGCATGCATTTTGAAGGGGAGCGAGACGGAAGAATTTTCCCGTTTCACGCAAGCGTAAAAGGTGAGGGGTTTGGGGCTGTCGAACTCCTCACCACCACCACCACCACCA